ACAGACACGTCAAGGTGTTTTGATCACACTGACCAAGTTTGTTGATCCATTTACTTCTGAAGTTTGGAATGGCTGGGAATGGCCAAAACTGTGCAACAGTTGCACAAAAAAACCCAAAATGGCTCCAACAATTTTCATACATCAAAGTGAAACGGATCTGTTACCTTGAAATTTTGTAGGGAATGCTATCAAGCCATTTTTTCCACATCCATGCTTAAGACCCATATTGGATAAGAGGTTGAACCCAAATGCAGTCTAGAGGCAGAGAAGGTGCAGTTCAATGATTTATTATCAGACAGGGATGAAGCTTACGGTATGCTGAGGCAGGCCAGGGCAAAACCAAAGAAAGCAGTCTAGCATGGGCAAACAAATCCAAAGGGACAGGAAAAATCCCCAAAAAACAGGCAAAAAGTCCAAAAACACTGGGAACACGAGGAAATGGTTGGAAGTGGTTCACACATGGACAGAGATGGCAACTAAAGCAAAGGAACACACGCACTGGAGAGGGGGACAGATGAGGGTGGGGCAGGCAATTAAAATTGTTATGTAATCAGGATACCAAAAAAAGGAACTGTAATCCATCCATTACATAAAAAAGACAATCAGATTCCAGTTATGTTAAAAATAGGAAGCATTTAGCAGGGTGGACATTGGACACCTTTCTGAGTCTAAAACTCTTTCCATTTCTTTTTTATAACGTTACATTGTTCTGTTGTCATATCACTTGCATTGATACTTTTCATTTATATGTATTTCCTTGTGATTTTTTGGAACATATTTGGTCTTGAGGTTAACCAAGAGTAACGTAAGGTAATCCAGTTACATTACTCTAATATTGTGGTACTTGGATTGAATACTGACTACATTTTTACCAGGTAATTAGTAACTATGGGATAACGTTTTTTAAATTAACCCTCCCAACCCTGATTACAAATATGTGTTTTCCAAAACTGTTTGTATCATCATGTAGCACTGCATGTTCTTACCAACTCAACCGATGGAAAAGAGCCTTTTCCAGCTTTGCCTACATGTGGTATGGAACATGTAATTTTACAAGGCTCATTTCAAAAGCATTTATTCTGGGGTTTTTGGTACCAGTCCCTCTGCATCCCCAATTTAACTGCCAAAGTTTTCTCTTTGTTACTTTGTGGAGCTGCTGAGACGACATTTTCTGCTGCATCATATTTTTCCCTCGGTCTATAGCCGACAAGTGAAGGGTTTTGTATTTTACTTCTATGAGCATTCAGTATTTCACTGTAGGTCTTTAAGTTCACTAAATCTTAAGCCATGACACATTCTCTGTATTTAATATCATTTGCCACCAAACCCTCTAAATCCACTTACATAAATAGGTTGCAATTGAGGAGCAAAGTAGAACAGCGGCTTCTGACAGACAAGATGTTTGTCTATCCGACATATGAAGTTATTTTAAAAGCAGCTATTTTGCACAGAAAATTATGTAGTCGCTGTCTGAGGAAGTGATGCAGCCGTTGAAGTGTCCCTCTTAAGATTTAAAACATCAATTAGATGAGTCAACATCATTTTTTAACTGTTGCAGTGTGTGTCAGATTTCACTAAAACAGTCAAAATCTTACATAGACTGCATATATAACTCTCTATACAATCTAATATGTAAACTTCAAAACCATCAACTGATAAAAGAGGAGGCATGACTGAAGATGGGCATCTAATTATTGGTATTTGTTGAGTGTGATTAGAGTTTAGTGGTACTTGAGCTCCACTTCAAAATCAGGATGACCAGTGTGGAGGAGGGTGTGGTTTACACAGTATCAGGTTTACAGGAGGGAGAGAGCTGTGGAGATGGTTTGTGAGAGCAGCATCAGGTGAGTTGATGATCTCAGCTGGTGCTCATTGAGTAATCACTCTCTGTTTTAAATGCTGGACCTGGGAGCACTGCTGGAGTTAATTGTTGGGGACTTTGGGAAATAGCTTAAGCTGAGTATTTTTGTTGACAGTGTGCAGCTGAAAAAGTAATACATTTGTGTTTGTTACTTGATCTGTTGTGCTTGGTTGTGTGCTGTGTGAACCCATGGTTGCAGAGAGACCTGCTACAACCAGGAAGTGTTCTGCGTTCATCAGCCCCTAAGTAATCAAATCAGTAATACATTCTTTTGTTCTGTTGTGGTGGTACTGATTCCCCAAGTCTCAACTCAAGGTAAAAGGAATCTGAGAACCACTTCCCAACATGATGATGATGATACGATAATATAATAATACACTTGGACTTTACTTTAACAATGAAAAATGCCTCTTTAATCTTAAAAAAACTAAACAGGTAAGGGATTTTAATGAAAAACCAATAAACCAAAATAAGCCTGCAGGCAGCAGATAATTGTGAAGCAAGGAACTCTCGCACGATTTACACCACAGACTACCCTGGTACAGGCACTAAGGGGTTCAGTTACAGAGTACTCAATCATTTTTAATGACAAGAGAGACAGCAAAGAAATCTCAGGGGGTCCTAAAGAACAGGGTTTCAGACTGACTATGTCTCATAACATGAGTTCTGCACCAAAGATCAGTGTGCCCCTGTGTAAGCAGTTCCCCACCACTCTTTCGCCTTTAAGAATGGGCGTCGTCACAATCAACAAGCTGCTCTCCATCATTCTTGAGTTGTCAGTCCCCACACCCTGTGCAGCAGTTGATCTGAATGATCCTCTAATCAACACAGAGGAATGTTGGCATTGAGCTGAAATTAAATGGGGAAAAGGAAAATGAAATAGCAGCAAATACAAATGAATGAGGGGCTGCTACACTGTCTCACCTAGGATATTGCCCTGTAATTTGGTCACCAGCATCACAACCTGATCTGAAGAAGTTGCAGGTTGCTCAAAACTAGGCAACTCGTCTGGTTCTCGGCAGTTGTATGCACACCTAACGTGGCTGAAAGGAGTACAGAAAATGTCTTTCAGACTCTTATTGCTACTTCGGAGTGTCAGTAGTACCAACAACCCACCCAGCTTGGCTCATTATAACTTTAAGTCTTCAGACAGTATAAGTCAAACCTTTGGAGACCAAAACTGTTTTTAGGCTGTAAACATGTTTATTTCTGCTGTAAAGTTGGACATTTTAATATGGGGCATTATGGAGATTGACTCACTTCTGGAGCCAGCCTCTAGTGGCCATTCGAGGAATTGCAGTTCCTTCATTTTTCAGCTATGGAGGTTGCCACTTTTTTGCCCACAGTTTTGAGCCATCAGCTAATCACAGGGAACAGCACTGATGAGGTGGGGATTGAGTTTATCCAACATTAGTGTTGTTTCTGTGTATATTAATGCCTGAAAGCTAACTCATTTTAGCTAACTATTTTTGTGGCATTTTTAAAGGTGCCAGTTTACCCCAATTGCCTTTTGTGGTATCGAGCCACAGAGATAGTTTGGGTTTTATTTGTCATGATCATTCATAAGTGTACGAATTCTCAATTTACTAAACTTTTGCTAAACTATTGAGTGTTAAACTTATAATGACTTTCTCCTTTTTTACTGGGATTTACATGTGTACACTGGTATTTGTGGCAGGAACGAGGTTTTATCAGATTTATCCAGTGAAAAGTTATCAAATTTGTGTGAAATGTTTTTAATAACTCTTAAATAGGCTATAAATTATCCTGGCCATTCAAAATAAGGCAAGAAACTTGCATGTCTATACATTTAGTATTTAGTATGATGTCATTATATCGTCAGACATTATCTAGTCTTTCAGCATCCCCAACACTGACTGATATCCAGCATCCCAGTCTACACCCGTGTCCAGTGAAGCTCCCAGGATGTTACTTTAGAATATATTAAAGGACCAGTGTGTAGGATTTAGTGACATCTAGTGATGCAGATTACAACCCCCTCACCTCATCCTCCCATCCTATTTGCTTTGTCCACTCTGGTCTACTGTATGGCAGTTCAACATGGCAGACTCAAAATGAGAAGACCCACTCCCTCTAGAGAAAAACAGCTCATTCTAAGGTAGTTGTTCCCTTTTCTATAATTTATTAAACTGTCAAACCCTGACTCAGTGACATATTTTATGGATATTTCACATTACATAATGAACACAAACAGTGAACTCCGTAACAGCAAGAATTTTGTTCCTGTTAAGAACCTATACAACCCTTTGACCTGGTCATTGTAAAACCATACGCAACTGTAAAAGAGGATATTATATGCATACAACCTTTAGCCCTGTTTTTATCTACACTCCATGTCCAAGTAAACAGCGGGATGTTGAGACTTCACTAAGAAGCCAAGGACATGATCATCGCACCACACTATCTGTCTGTTTACTGTCCCAGAACTCAGGCATTTGTTAGAGTGACGCTCCAACAGGGATAAAACCATGCTGCTTCTTACAATCTTGGCTCTTTTGGACTTTCACATATGAGAGTGTGTGACGGTTGCACTGAGACCATTCACGGATGACTTTAACAAAACTTTACAGAAAGACAAGATCATGCTTTGTATGCTTTATTTAACACATATCCACCACAGATACTTTTATAATTCTTTGTATTATCATTTTTAACAATCTTACAGACTTAATAGGCTTCTTTTTCTTGTCTCTAACTTCCATTGTTAGATTAGACAATTTCCTCTACATACATTTCTTCACAGAAGTGAATCAAATGCTGAGATATAGGCCTACTTTGTATATTTTTTAAGTTTTCTTACACGTCTAAAAATAAAGAAGGCCTTGCAAGGTGGGGGTCCTAACCCCCAGGTTGGGAACCACTGTTCTAAGGTAAGCAGGTGATTATACACTAATGAAAACATATCTGAATGAATATTCTATTCCGTTTCTGCCTTTCTCTCCTGTAAGCATTAGCCTGATGATATTCTGTATGTATTGTTTTTTACATGGATCTCAGCGCTCTCTCTCTCTCTCTCTCTCTCTCTCTCTCTCTCTCTCTCTCTCTCTCTCTCTCTCTCTCTCTCTCTCAGGAGGCGGTCGCTAGGGAAGTGGGCGTGGCGTCGTAGCTAGGCAGTGACGTCAGCAGGAGCTGTTCAAAGTGCCGTGGTGCTGAAGAGACAACTCTCCTCGCCTCGCCTCTCCTCTGCGCTCAGTCGGCCAGCCAGCCAGTCGCTCGCTCGGGTCGCTCGGTCGGTCCGCAGCCATCAGCTCCGGGGTCCGTGAACGCTGGATTTCACCGCCGCAAACACCGTTAATTAGCGCTCATTGACGGCAGGATACGGAAGACGAAAAAAACCAAAAACTACCAGCACCGTTTACACATCATCTGAAGCCCATGTGGGAGAGATTTCCAACAAGTAAGTCGCCTCTTTTCTGTCTATTTCTCTGTCTAGTGTGTCGGGAAGCAGCAGGGATGGGTACTTTACACCTTTACTGGGTTCGAAACGCCAATAAATTCTAATGTGTCTCTTCCCAGTGAGATCATTCCACTCTTGGTTGTGTAATAGTACCTACAGATATATCCCCGCTGTCTGTAATTATCAGCCAGTGTGTGTCCACTGAGGCAAGTCTTCCAGCCGCGCCTAAATCTTACCCTGCGCCTGCCTGGGGTAAAACATTTGACTCATATTTGCATGATCCAATGGTCAGAGATGCGCTCTCTCTCTCTCTCTCTCTCTCTCTCACACACACACACACACACACACACACACACACACACACACACACACACACTGTTTTCTTTGCATGAATGCCTGACATCAGGACAGCCGCTCAATGCAACTGAATAAAAACACAAAAAATAAAGCATACCCCCCTCCCCTTCTCTCTCTCTCTCTCTCTCTCTCTCTCTCTCTATCTATCTCTATCTATTTCTATATCTCTCTATCTCTCTGTGTCTATCACACACACACACACACACACACACACACACACACACACACACACACACAGGGCTGATTCAGGCAGCACCACTACTCTAGCCTATAATTGTAACCTCAAATTAAGTACATTCTGTAGTGTCTAGGGTTTTTTTCCCCCAGTTTTTGGACCCACTGCCCACACTTAGTGGCTTTGATGGTTTTACTGGTCTACAATAGGAGACATGCAGGGACTAGCCAGTTAGTGGTCGAGCTGCTACTGTGTTTCTTGATAGCTGATACAGCATCACAGCTTGTGTGTGAAAGAAGAGGAGCCGGTGAATCTGTTGAGAGGTGTTTCTTTTTTTGAGTCCAGAGTGCATTTAGGTGTGGCCCGGCTGGCCTCTCCTCTCCTCTCCTCTCCTCCTCTCTTGTTTCCTCCTCTTTTCTCTCGTTTCCATTTTTGTTTCCTCTCCTCTCCTCATCTCTCCTCCTTCTTTTTTGTGTTCCCACCTCTTCTATTTTCTCCCTTTCTCTTTTCAGTTCTCTCTTTTCCTCCTCTCCTTTTCTTGTCTCAGTTTTATTGCCTTGGCTGATGTGGTGAAAGGGAGTCAAGCAGGTGCTGTAAAACTGTCTCTTCCCTTCATCTATACATATACGTACACTGAAAAGGAAGCGACTGGCAATCATTTTTAGTGTGTCTTTGATTTGCTTCCTCCAAACATAAATCAAGTAATGTGGCACTACAGCATGAGCCAGTGTTTGAAACCTTTTTCCATTAAAGATATAATAACACTCTCTCTACATGGCTCTAGCAGCAGGTAGCCTACTGCTAGGCTCGTAGCTGCCTTAAACACAAGTAAAATGCTGACTAAACTGCTGATTTTACATGCAACAAATGTTTAACACACACAGTATACACTTGAAAGCACGGGGGCACAGTGCTCAACCGCTTGTGTGACTGGGCACATCAGCCGACAGAGTGGGCGTCCCTGGCCCCGGCCTTGGGACGTACAGATAATACTACATGTCATAATCACTTGCCATGTACTGTATATCTATTATGGGAAGACCATTGATGATGATGACAGCAGCCTTTCCTCAGGTTAGCAAATATGATAATATTTCTGCAGAAGGACTGCTGAAGTTTGGAGCTGGAGTTTGTAGAATACCAGCTAATTTATTGTTGTTAGTGCTAATATATTCTTCGCTTTCAAGTTTGAATTTGCCTTAGCAATAAAAAAAGCTGCTCTTTAATGTTGTCCAACATCAATTTGTGCTTTTAAAAGTACCAGTTCAGGCACCGTTTAAGTATCATTTTAGCATCGGTATCGGAAAAAAAACAAACGATGTCCAACCATGTCAACGAACCATGTAAAAACCAAGAGAAAAGCCTTCTGTGCTGTTTTTTGCTCTTCTTTCAATGAAGAAATATTCTCCAGTTCTGATAGAACCGCCCACGAAGCAAGATAGATTCTCGCATGATCTCACCAGCTGCTTTGCAACGTTAGGTCAAAATCCAAAACGGCTAGAATCCTACATTACCCATTATGCAACTCAACAGCTCTTTTCTTTAATCCCTCTCTGCCTCCCTAATGTCAACTTCTTTCCTTACTTTGTGGTGTTTGGACATCACTGTGACATGATCGGGTTTAACTCCCTTCATGGCCACAAAAGGCTTTACACACCTGCTTTCACAGGCTAGTAATACTTCTTGTGAAACTGAACTTCATATGGAAAAGCAGTGAAGTGCCCTTTACAGTGAATGTCAATGTCTTATTTTGTTTCTACGTCAAAAAAAACCCTACATTTTAAAACATCCACCAATTCAACTTTTATCATCACACAAAGCCTTTTAAAATGAGCGCAATGCAGCTGTAACAACCATGTTTCATGTTCGTAACCAGACATTATGGTTGTGTTCCCGAGGCTGGGAGAATCCAGTGTTTGCGAAACGCGTATACAAAGTCTTTTTTGAACTTTCCACTCAGCTTCCACAAGATGCACACAGGCCATCTGGGTGCTCGCGGGGGGGTTGCAGCTCCAGCTCTCTGTGCTTCCTGAGGAGAACACATCTTGACATTTTAGCACACAGGCAGATATGTGAAAGGTGACATCGCTGACATCATGACAGGGCTTCAAAAGTACATTATATACGTTCAGAGTGCTCGTGCAGGGTCTAAATATATGTGGATGGAGAGCGGTGCCACTCAGGTGTTTCTTGTTATTTATAGTGAGTTTGGTTCCTCTATTTGTGGATTTAGTTCTATGCCTGTAGACCAGCTCTTCTCAAATGTACACTGTTATCTCTGTATTAGTGTAATCCTGCGCCTTTAGTTAAGACACAATGTTTGATTATGTGAGTTATTTATTATGGTTCTTGGCTTTAGACCACCATGCCAAAAGAGGCAGAAGGCTTCACAATATGTCTTTAAACATAATCTGGAGACGAACCTTTTCAGTCTGGCTTGCATGACGTCTCCTCGTGTGCCAGTTTGACTGGTTAAATCATCACCTTCTGTTTGATATTTTTAAATTGAAAATGTCATGTAAACCTCTTTAATGAGTGCCTGAGTGTGGGTTTTGAAGTGTGTGTTTTTTTTAGATCTGTAATTTCTCAAATAAAAGGCCTGCTATCTTTATTAAAGTCAGTGGATGCTGAGCGCTTTGACGCTCAGTATCTCAGAAGGCAGGTAAATGTTTTTATTCAAGCTTATTCCAACCCCCGCATGATAAGCACTGGGTATTGATTGATGGATTGATTGATCTGGCTTCTGTTTGTGGAAATTGCAGCAATGTTAAATAATTTTTTTCGCAACCAGCTGATGGCTTTTTCATAGACTCCCCCCCCACATCAAATGGCCTTTTCTGTCATTGGAAAAAAAAAGTCAGCGAGGGGGAAAAGGTAAACCCTCTAACCCTCTTCTCTGTCCACATGTTCCAAATGGGCCCCTGGGTGTCCAGACTGTTTCTGTTCATGACAGAGCAGGTGGTTAGGTGGAGCTGGGGGGTCGATAGGGCAGGCAGGTGGGGGGTTGGGTGGGGCTCTCCGATGGGTCCTGGAGTTCAGTGACACCTGATAGTGCAGGATCTGGTTTCTCTACCTGTGTGCAGGTGAAGAGACATCAGCAATACTCGTCAATACTTTACTGTGTACAGTACTGGATGAGATGGAGGAACTGTGGTTAATACCATGCTCAGTTTTTATGCAAAGCTGATACTGACACCATTCATCATGTGGTGACAATTGTAGTTTTTCTTATTGCAGCATCCTACTGCCCCACAAGTGACAACTCTCAGGGAACATTCTGGTTCATAATTTGGTCAGTTGAAGCCTCAAGATTTCATGTTCACAGATGCACTTTTTACCCTTTCAAAAAAATAAATCTGGTTTTAAGAAAATATATCTAACTTTGTCTTAATAAAGCATTCCAGCTAATATTGAGCTTGATTGAACCAGTAACAAGTTACCACAAGGGTTTGCTGATTTTTTTATTATTTTTTATTTTAACAGTAAGACCACTCGCACAACTTTCACTTTAAGAGAAGGTAGTCCCAGTGTTGGTTAGTTTTTCATTGTTTTAATAAAAATGCTTCTGGTGCCTCCATTTAAGATAAAGACACTTCTTTTTATTCTGCTGTTTGAAGAAATTGTGTCTAATTGAAAGACTTGTTTTATAAAATAATAATTCTAGCTCAGCAAAATTGGCTTGATCCATTAATGTTTTTGCTTAATACAAGAAGATTTGATTATATTTAAGAATATTTGGCTTGTTTCTAGAAGGGCTGTTTTTGCAGTGTTATTTTGTGTCATTGACTTCAACATTGTTCGGTCAGTTGAAAACACTGTGATAAGCTAAAGATTTACCTATGAGTTAGCTAAATGCTAACATACTTAAAATGACAAAGCTAAAATGCTTGTTGAACAAATGTAAATTTTGACATGTGAAAAGTCAGGGGATCACCAAAGTTGTTTTAATTCATCTTTAGGCAACCCGGTGTCACTCCCAAGTCATCCAATACTGCCCCCTGCTCAGTGGCCCTCCCCTTCAAAATATTACATTGTAGATATCCCTCTACTGTCATTTGTGGACATGTCCACCCTTTAAGTTAGGTGACATAGTATAAAGAGCAAGAAAATCCATCTCAAACAAACACAGGATTCTAAAACAGGAGGCAATTAAAGTTTTATTAAAATACGTACATTACGCAAGTTACATTTTATTCATGTACTTAAGTGATGTCAGGTACGTAATGTAACTAACAATGTTTTTCTAAATCTAACTTCACCGCGAAGTCATGCGCATGAGGGACACCTGCACTGTCATATTTTGAAGCGGAGGTCCACTGATCAAACAGCGGTATTTGACGAGGTGGGAGTGAGAATGTGTTGTCTTAGGTGAACATGACATTTCTATCTATCCAATAGTTGGCAAGACATTTCACTTAAAACCACAAAAGTCAACTTGCCTTATTTCAGTGATGATGTAATTGCTTTT